AAGTTACGTGTATTTGAAAAAATGCATCACCAATTCTCACTAAATCCTAAATACAGGAGTACACTCGTCGCATGCTTGTAAATTCCGCTCGCTAGTTAGCTAAGCCTTCATGCTATATTAAGCGTAACAACGGGAACGAGTCTAAAGTTGCATTGTGGATTAAATGCAACCCAATTAAGTTTCTAGGAGTCCGTGCCTGAGTCGCCTCGATATCAGATTAGTTCCTCGCTGGATTACATTAGTGGACGTCATAGTACGCTCCTGGTTATGTACAACCTCCACGTATATCCAATTATAGCGCCATGCCGTTCAATAGTCATGGAGATTGGAACTGTCAACATACGCGAATTACTGGCTATTTGATGTAATACAATATACCTTCTTAAGTGACTCATCTATGGTATGTTCATATCGCAGTATCTAATACTTGACTGGATTTGGCAACTATTAAATGAGTTGTCGTAGCAAAAATGGTTGAGGAAATATGTACTAGCACTAATAAATAAACACTATTGTTGAAGTAATAGTAGCTCAATGGGACTTAGGTTCGATGGTTCGACTACAGGTTAAGTATGTTTGTATCTCATTTTCCATTAAGTGAAGCTCGATGCTTGTCTAAAAAATTGTATCTTGGGTGCAGCTACACTAATATTTGACTTCTACTATTGAAAGTAAATATGCAAAAAACAAGGAAACAATCTACACATTACGTTCGTAAAGATTTTATAACAAAAACTTAGGGAAAAAGGAGTGGCGGCGAGTTTCCTGACATTCCTTCTCGTTCATTCTACACCCTTGATTGGTAGTTAAAGTAAATTTAGAGTTTTTAATGTTTTACTGCATTGACATTCATAAGTGTACTTTTTGGTACCTACATGAATAAATGGTTTTTGATTTGATTTGACTATTCGGTATTTAAATTATTGCATGTTTAAATATTTCAAGTTTTTAAAACAGTTTACTGTGGTTACGTATAAGTGCATGTTAATCTTAATATTTTATAAACCTTTTGAGACTACAAGCCAATATATAGCAAATAAATTCATAACATCAAATCTATTCTATTTCGGAAAACAAAGTAGAGCCGATACCGATTTACCAATAAAAGCGGATAATACTTACAGCGCGATGTCACCCACCCTAATGGAATATTAATCCGTGTTATGTTATTGGATACGTAATTAGTGGTGTGTCGTAAATTAATTAACCCCTAATACAGTGTTGATATCTGTCTCAGTCGATACATTCCGGAGCAATAATGTAAATGCTTTAGGATTGTGGCATGATCTATTTGTTTGTTCGGTTCAAGTTTATTGCGGAGTAAATCATACAATATGAAAAAATTAACAGCCTTTTCATGATAGAAGATTAGACAAGCATGGGGTTCCCTTGATGGTAAAATCCGGGAAACCAAAACGCAATATATACGGTATGAACGGTAGCTCGAGAGCCGTAAAGAATTTTGACACTCCTACCACCCGACAGATTACATATAATAATAATAAAATGTAGAATAGCAATCTGGTTTATTTTTTTACGCTATTTTTCGATATTTGTGAAATTGACTTGTGTCATTATTATTACAAAATAGACTCGAAAACTTTATGCCCTTACTTAAATTACTGTCAGAAAGAAATAATCGTTTGATTGTCAATGCTACGAAAATAAGCCGTCATCTGCTATGATCACTGCAGGTGTTACGAAGTCTACTAGTCTACAAAGCGCTACGTTCGACCTACAAACGTCTACGTTACAATAATAATGACGAATAAACACATAAATTAGACTTCATCAAATAAACATCATTCACACCATTGCCCAAAACATTATTATCAACATTGTGAAATTCATTACATATTCCAATATACCATACTACATTACAAACACTAGACTTCGAGCACTCATTCGTGAATTCGCATTACAACGACTTTTATGTGAGACTGTAATTTTAAATGTTTATTTTTTATCCAACGTGAGCCTGCAATTTTTACGATGCGAACTGGGAGTTTGGGCCTCACGTCCCTAACCAATCTCCTCCGTTGTACAAATCATTTATTAAACTCATTATAAGCTGTTCGATATTCAGCGAACATACTATATGTTGGAACTTCCTGTTCCATTTATGAACGTTTGAATTATAAGAGAATATATATATACTTTGATGTATTTTAAAGACTTTTTATTAAAAAAGGAATACTTATTAGAGACATAAGATACTGTGCTGTTTTTCTGTGTTATTTGAAATTAGTCATATTTAGCTCAGATCTACTTAGCGAATACTTCAGTAAGTCGACTTAAGAATGCAGTTTTAATACAGCGCGAGCGTTTAGCTCATATTTCTCATGCTTGTCTTGTTCCCCATTGGCCTCACGCTTATTTTATACGTGACATGGAACCGCAATCTTGGCGTATCTCTTTCTAATATCTTTTGTTTTAGCCTGTTACGTCTTATTTTATATCAGGAATAACTATTTCTAACGTAACGGTGTTGGTTTCGTACAAGCAATGAATAAACCGATTATGGCAAAGATTTATGAATAATTTTGCCATGGCATACTTCCTATTACGTTTTTTGTAGTTTTCCATACTACCATTCGTAGTTTGACATGCTCGTTGGTCGTGTAAAAAACATGTATTGAAATGCATGTTGTTTTTTCTGTCTGTTTTGATTGTCCTCCGTCATATAAAATAAATATTTGACGCTTATTGCTAAGTCTATGTATATCAATGTATTAGTGACATTTTCTTTTTTCAAATACAAACACTGTCGCATAATTTAATGCCTCGGGAAATGTAATGTTAAGTAACATCAAAGTGAGTTTGTTCAGTGACAAAAAACCAATTTCATTGACGTACGCCACGCTTTAATATAGGGAATGAATATGTATATCGGGAGTAAATATTAAAAACGGAAACAAAATGAGGCTAGAGGAAGCGAATTTATTAACGCTGCGACACAGAGTAAATATACAGCCTCCTTTATATTAAAGTGGGAGGTCCATTAGTCCGCGACAAACAAAGCTTACAAATATTTAGACACCCTCGATTAGTATGTACCGAATTCTTAATTCAAATTAATTAGATGAATGGATCATACCTGGAGAAGGTCGACAGTAGAATAAAATTGAACATTCCTTTCAATAAGTTAATTTAAAATATAAACATATTTATTCATGGTGAAAAAAATAAACTTCTTTTAATTGATTCTTTGTTTCATGGCTTTATAAAACACATTTATGGGTTTAAAACAGATAAAATATTTGCTAACGAACAAGATTTCTTTTAATTAATATTTATAGTAGTCTTTCTTCCATTAAATACTATTATATGCAGGGAATTAAATTTGAGTGGAAACAGCACTCCGGAAAAACAGACGCTAGTTTCAACTGAGTCAACATAAGAAATAATGTGGAATCGTTCGTTTTTAGTGCGCAAAACGATCGTCGTCGAAGCGCAATCCAGTGGATTAGGACTCCAACACGCACCCTACCATTTCACCAACTTTCTATTTATATTGGGTCGCTAACCAAACAACTTGTAGGCTCTTTATTACAGTTGTTCGTATACGTTCACGACGTCGTTACCACTTTGATAAAATATCGACTCGATTTTTATTTTACAAGCGTTATTGAGCATCGTGTAGTTTACGCGAATAGTACTTTTGAATAGAAAAAATTAAACGGTTTAAAACGAGAGATATATTAGTTAACTTATTTTTAATTTTTATTTAACTATGACGCGACGTTATTATTGCTGTATGTAATTATTGAGGGATTGCTGCTTATTATTATTTCACGTTCGACGTAGATCGGGTGGTCCACGATACGAATCCCGGATGGGAAAAAAATTACAGATCATAATAATGTCTAGTAGTCATTGTTAAAGTTTTGAAGCAAATCTTATCACCTCCAAGCTTCGATGAGAAAGCATTAAGTCCTAGACAGCATGACTAATTTTGTGGTTCAAGTCTTTTAAGCCCTTAAGCCCAGCTGTGGGACAAGTATGTGAATTTTGAAAATTAAATACAACATTAACAATAATTTCAAAACTAGTTCTAATAATATTAACATAACATGTAAGAATGTTGGTATAATATCTAGTTTTATTTGTTAACTATTGTATTTTAAAATATATAATAAAGCTATTGTATATACATATATAATTATAATTATATAAATATGTAATTATATTTTTTAAATAAATATTGGTTTAAATAATGACGTCATATATTTTGATGTTTCGTAATTTTATTTTAAGATACAACGATCATGCTGAATGTCTCTTGCTTGAATTGTCATTGTTTTTTTTTTAATTTCAGTTTTAATTGTACAATAGTTACGTATTGTGATCGCGACCAGTCGACATTCCTTTTTTTTGACCTTTTTTTTTGAGTAATACATATGCGGGCCAATCAGTATTTACTAATTATATGATAATTAAAATATATAATAAATTTACTCTTTAGGACTCTCTTGTACTGACTTTTTTTGTAAACATTTGATTCGAAATATATTATTTTAATGATTAGATTATTATCAAATGAATTGTTTTATAAACAAAGCTTAATTTTATTTGCGTCCAACTAGTGGCACCATCTATTGTAAGACTTCATAACCTTATAAGGAAATTAAGTTTATTTATAGGATAAACGTAATTCGTATATAATGATTTAGAAATTTAACTATGTTTTAAGATGTTATATAGTGTAGTTTTTCAATTATTTGTTTTGTTTTAAAGGAAGTTGTGATTGTAATAACCGTTGCCTATGAATATCCGATTTATTGTAAAATACTGTTTAGTCTAATTCTAGGATCCTGGGATTCTGGGATTCGTTATTTTTAAATGAGGTATTTTAGTACATTTTAGTTCATAGTCACTTTTCATTACATTTTTACTCCTCTCTTTCGTACCATTCGAATAGTAGCAATACAAAGTAATTCCATTGGAATATTCGCGAAGTAAACTACGAAATTTGTCCACAGGTGCATTAGGAACATGACATGAGTGTATCGAAGATGGAGCGGGCGGGTCGAAGGTCGAAGGCGGGCTCCCTAAGTGGTCTGTCTGGCGGATTCCCGAACGGCGTACCGAATTCGGGCAATGTTCGTAGGCAGCGCTCGCTTGAATGGAGCGGCGACCGCTACAGCAGCAGCGACGACGACCGCCCGCAAAAGCCTCAGCAGCTCGATGATCGTGTGTTCGCTTCCCTTCTCGCCCAAGCTACACAACAATTTGACAGTAAATATATTTTTACCTTCACTGTAGATTATATAGAGAGGTCTGTGTCCAGTTGTCTTACTTTGTCACTTTCTAGGTTTACTTGTCAAGTTGCTACTGCTAAATTAACCACCAATTTGATTCGTTCGTGTTTTAAATACTTGTTCTATTTTTACATGACTATCATAAAAGTCATCTCCAAAACTGTTATATAGTTCCTAAAAAAGGTTTATGAGATGTTATACTATTCTCAATTTCCTTATTTTTAAATTAGATAACTACATATTTTCATTACTTTTTTAAATACCTAAGACACAACTCGTCCATAGCTCCTTAAAAGAGACTTTCTACCAAACTCGACTCTGTATTTACACAGATTTTTTGTTTTTATCTGTGATATGGATATGTTCAATAAATTTTGCTGGACTCATCGGTATAATGGTAGCAATGTATGCAAATAATCAATGGGTCGTGGATTCGCTTCAAGCCGGGTCCAACATTTTTCTAAGTAATTTATCATTTTTCTAATACATGCTTAGCTTAGCACTGGAAATCTGGGTATTAAATCGGTGGTGGGAATATATAAAAAAGCCGTCAAGTATAATCGCGTTTCGGTGTCAGTCTATAGATATCCGAATATCCAAAGCCAAAATAGGTCATCGTATCTTGTTTAGATGTTATAGAGGTGGGGTACCCGTCCTGTAAACTTTCACTCTAGCTCAATATTACCACCTAGGTAAACTTGATGCCGTCAGCTCCACATAGAATAATTAGCCATAGCTAGACTCATGTCTGCATTAAAGCAATTGCAGCCGACTAAAGCGCGGTAGGATCAGTCCAAAATTTGTTATTCATCGGGTGACACGGTCGAAGGTCCACGCTGAGCCCTAACAAGTGGCATCATTAGTGGAACATTGAGGGTGGCTGGGAGACTGAATTGATAGGGGTGCGCTGCGGTGAGCTTATGAGGAAAACTTTATATAGAAACTTGTTCGTTGGCTCCAGTTTTCATCCTTATCCTAAGGTATCACTGAGGTTAATAATCCTTTGATAGATAATTTTGGTAACTTTAAGTTTCACGTTGATTCTAATGAAGTCTTAAATATTCAATTGAGTATGTCTAAAACTCAGTAAGGTATAACTCATTTGCTTTTTGACGTCGTGTAATCATGTTTCTACTTGTTTGGCTTTTGTATGACACAGTTGTCACCTTTGTCTCTTAATTATAACCATAATCTTATATTTCTAACTACTTAAACATTGAATTCTGAAATACACTTGTAAACCATATTGACCCTAATTACAGCGACATATATCTATACTAATATTTTAGAGTTGAAGAGTTTATTTGATTGTTTGAACGCGCTCATCTCAGAAACAACTCATGCCCAACATAACTCTTCTACGCGGACTAAGTCGCGAGCACATCTAGTTGATTGATATATACGAAAATTGTATGAGGACATCATTCGATCGTTAATTTTCTTAAACACTGTCCGTGTTTTTCGATGTAGTGAAACCTACTTTACGCCGTAATAAAAGGGCGTTGATGGTGAAACCGAAGAGATAAGTGTCCATAACTCATATCCAGACGTTGCATATGGCTTTTCGGGTTATCATAGACATTACTTTTGGCGGTGGCCTAATGTGATTAGTCTGGGCGTGCCCCCGTATTTGCTGAGCTTTATGCACCATCGTCCCGTGTTTTCATATTTAGTATTCAGTATGTCTGGCACGTTTCCGTTATTAAGCCGATGATCAAGTAATCATCTGCTAATGGATTCTGATAGTAACGTCGGTTTTATGTGATGTTGACTATCCTTAGATGTGGTGGAAACAGGTAGGTACACAACAAGCAGGTTTGTTTGTTGAATTGATTCTTTAACTATATACAAACATTCTTTTGCCATATGAAGTACTAGCTGTGTCAGCGATTTCGTCTGCGCATCTTGGGCATCAAAATTATAGCTGTTTGTTACCCACGACGTGGCGTCGTCCGCGTCTTGTCGTTCTTTAAGTTATTCTTAGAAGATAGACATATACTATAGCGCGCATTTTTTCTACAATTCCCGCCTTTTTTCAGATGGGAATAATCTTTCTAACCTAAAGCCTTCCTCGATAAATGGCCCAACAAGCACAAAAAGGATTTTTTATCAATCCAGTAGATTCTGAGACAAATGCGTTAAAACTAACAAACTTTTCAGCTATATAATATTAATATAGATATACATATTTAAATAAAACACTTAACGGTTTAAAACGCGATATATTAGTTAAACTTATTTGGAAATGATTTTTAACTTCGGCCCGACGTTTACGATATACATACCTTTTATTCTTTTTTAGGAAAAGTATTATTTTTTTAAAGACAAGTTGATTACTGTGACTGTACCGCTTTCTCATTATGATCCCTCACAATTCAAACATAGAGACTCTTGCGTAATCTGTAAATCATTAAGCTTTGAAGACACGACACGAAAACAACTGAAGTCAACAGTGTCGGCTAAACGTTAAAACCCACTAAACCGCATTGGTATAGCATAGTGGAATCCTAAACCCTTTCTCCTATATTAGTCCCTGTGCCCAGTGGCACGAAAATAGTTTCAAACGAATTATTTATTATTAGAATTGTATTTATATTGAAGTTAATAAACTAGGGTCCTTCAAGTAAATATAGCGGTAGGAAGTAAGGAGATCCCATTTCATTTTGTTCACCTACAGTAGTATCGGCGTTATTAGAAAGCCTAGATACGCAATATCCACGGTACGGGCCGCGATCCACGAGAATCCTTAGCGGAACGACGCCTGTTATTGCATGGAAATACTTCGACGTGCAACTTCATTGAGGGACTCTTTTGTATAAAGGTTCAGCGAAATGTTCCCCCGGTTATTGTTTTTCGAAAGCGAAGGAAGCGCCTGATATTACCTTTCTGGAATCAAAATAGCCAGGTTATTAGATTACGATGCGCTGCCCTCGGGAACCGTTGCGTTTCTTGAAACATTTATGTGTATGTACTACTACAAATATCTTTATATAATCTTGGAGTATGGTGGCGGCTTATATGAAAATGTCATTTTATAGTTCTTATCTTTTAAATAAAACACTTTAACGGTTTAAAACGTCAGTCGTGGTGTCACCGTGACCACGGCTGCTGTAAAGCATCCAAAACGTCGGGCCGTAATTAAAAATACTTTTTCTAATAAATTTTAATAATATATATCGCGCTTTAAACCGTTAAAGAACAAACTACAGACGTTTAAACCGTTTAATGGGGTTTATTAAAATGTTTACTTACGTAAATCTCAGACAAAAAAAAGTTATTAAATAAGACGCCAATTATAATATGCCTTGTATCACTGAAAAGGCACATCGCAGTATGTAAATGCGTCGCCCCATATCCCGCCTCTCCCAATCATTTCATTATTTACCAGTGGGACATAGTCATGACTTTATAATGTATCAATATTGCCGATAAAACGTCCCACCTGCCAGCGCTCTCATAACCACCTGTCACCGTACTAACATTTATAATAATTTTATCGCATTTTCCAAGCTGAAATAGCGAATGCGAGCTTTTCAAAGGCTTTTAATAAAGTAATTTTATATAATGGCAACATATTTAAAAACAGTTACACATTATTCTAAATAGGTTTATTAATTTTCACTTAATTATTGGACTATAGAGTAGTATTTACTGTTAATATTTAATTTAGTTTTTTTTGTGAATAGGAGGTTTTAAATTAATATAGTCTACAGTTGTTTAAAATTCTGTTTCTCATTTCAATTTATAACGGGCGGTGATAACAAACTCTTTGAAATACTTATACTTTACTAATACTTTTTTAGGTCCCTGATATTAAGTAAATAATAAACATAAATATGTAGGCATAAACAATAAGCTGAAACCTATATATAGGAAAAATTTGCGAAATCCTTTGTTTATTTAAATGAAACAATTTAACGGTTTAAAACGCGATATATTAGTTAAACTTATTTGGAAATGAATTTTAACTTCGGCCCGACGTTTCGGATGCTTTGCAGCAGCCGTGGTCACGGGAAGACTGTTACTGACACGGAAGTTAAAAATAATTTTCAAATAAGTTTAACTAATATCGCGTTTTAAACCGTTAAAGTGTTTTATTTAAATGTGTACTACTCGCGTAAACTATAGACAATCTTTTATTTAATTATTACCCACAATTAAAACATATCTTTTACAACGCACAGCAAACATTTCTATTGAGTCGTAGTAAGGTTAATGGTTTATTAAAAAAAAATATACACATACAATTTTATTCTTTATAAGAATCTTGGGAGGAAAAGTTTGTTATTAAATTTTTTGTAGCCCCTGCATAGAAAGTTTAGTTCATTTTATTTATAACAGATTTACGTGTCACACTTATATTAAAATTCGAATTTATAATATTGCTAGTTAGTTTGCTAGTTACTACTTTTCGTTCTACGTTTTGAAAATAAATGTTGCTCATACAATTATTAACTATTTTTGATTTAATACTTGTAAAACTACATGGTAAACTATTGTTTAATTAACCGTCAAATAAGGGTATTCACAATGGGAATCAGTTATATTTATTGTGCCATCGGCCAGGCGGTCCATGCGGGCTGTTATCACTCGACTGTTCGCGGAGATAAGCCACTGACCTTTCACTAATACAATTGGACACCATTTACTTAATATTGAGAAATTAAGGCTTTGAGCGACCTCTTGCAATAGCTATTACGGCTACAGATATCTCTAGTAATTTATTTTAGCTCTAGAGATTAACGACTTCGTCTTGCCTTAACAATACTGTGTTGTATTGTTTTATACATATTTTATATCTCTTTATTGCTTAAATGTATATGTTAATTATCACAACATTTTATATAACTAGTAAGTGTTTGTGAGATTTAAAAAGGCGAGAATCAAACCCGAGATCTCACCCTTTGTATTCATAAAAATTCTTTATCATTTTATGTATTCACTTTTTCAAATACTTTTCTATCTTTCTATTTTTTT